AGGCACTCGCAGTGAGCTTGCGAGTACGTTTTGCGATGAGTGGAAAAGAGCCTTAAGTCAGTTAAAAGTTGAATTATGTCACAGCTGCATAGTTGATGCAGGAGTGCTCAGAAGTGTGCTCTGAAGAGTGCATCCTTTATATGGTCAAATATTTTTCTAACTTGGACGAGTCATTGCAATGCGTCACTGCAATTTGCTTTCTTGGAAGAAACCAATCACTAATCTTTTATAAGTTATAACATATTTGTGAAAATGCAAAACTAGGGTATGTGACAACAGAAAATATGTCTAATAGTAATACATTTAACAAGAATACATTGATTGCCTTGTGTTAAGGGATTTGAAAGAAACATCAGCTGTGGTTCTTAAATTTTGACAAAATTAAATGCTGAATCTGGCCATTTCATTGCTTCATATGATTTTGACTGGATTGTGGGATTAAATAATATGGCCAAGGGCATTTTCTGTCATTGAATATTCAATAAAATGTGTTTTTCTGCTTTACTTACAGGAACAGTTTTATCAGCACTTTCCCTAATTCGTGGTAATTTGTCAGCTCAAAAAGGTAAGTGATGCAGTGCATCTTTTGTTTTTTCTATGTTTATCTCAATTCATTCATTATATTAGTTCCATCCTTAGTGTATGTATTCCTAAACTTCTAAAACTCAATTTTCCCCCTACCCTGTTTTAAAACTCAATCTTTGCTTTCCTTGAACCCAACCCTAATCTTATAGCTACCCTGGGTGGATCCATTTCCTTATCTGCCTTTGGCATTTTGAGTCGTGAACATGTGAGCCACTATAAAGGGTTGTTTGGGGACATGCGTACTACCAAAGATAGTATTTGGTACTACCCCAGATAGTATTTGAAATTTTGACTCTTGACAGAGATATTGTCTGCATGTTGAAGGTTCTATTTAGAAAAATCTTGGCCGTACCTAGGCTCAATAAATGAAGTCATGAACTTTTCCCAGTTTTCATTTTTATTGAGAAAAATAATTCTCTTCTTTGGATATCTCTGGACAGAGAAAGCTTTATTTATGCTCTATCTTTGCATTGTTGCAACTCACAGAGAAAATCATGTTAAGTCTTTTGTTTTTTACTCAAGATGTTGTACACATTGTGACAATAAACAAGCTAGAAGGTGATGCTTATACAGGTTTTCGATGAAAGCAATGAGTTCTGTGTTATACATGTAATTTATTAAAGTAAAAACTAGCATAACAACAAACCATATATATAATTTTTGCTTCAGGATACAAACTTTATAGTACTTTCATAATTCTTATCATCAAAACACAGAAGTATTTGAATAACATGATAAAGATGCAATTTTTATAAAAAGTACTTATATTGCCTTTGAAGTGCCATGTTAATTTCATAAATTTTACTGAATTATTGATTTAAAGTTCTTTAATACATACAACACAATTTGCATGCAAAGCAATGCAATATATCCAAAATATGCAGTGTCTGTTTTGGCAAAAACAAACAATCAATTGGAAATGTATTCTTCCTCTGGGACTCGTTGAGCACATTTCTTCTTATGAAGTATTATATACAAAGACACGATAATTTGTCTCCAACGTCCAAAATTCTACATCTTTTTGTGTCATCTTTATGATTTTATCTCATCTTGCATAATGCATTCATAATGATTCCACTGCTTTTTTTTGACCTCTTTGGAAACTGCAATACTATCAAAATGCTCAAATATATCTTTTATGTGAATAAGATAGCTTTTTTATGCATAAATTATTATATTAAGAAATGTTGTTTGTCATTAAATGATCATAGTTACGTAGTTAATTGAGTATTAAGTTTGTAAAAACAATTTATAAACAAATAAAAATGTGAAAAATGGTTTTACTATTTCAAATTATTTTATTTTAACAACGGTAGATTTAATTTACATATTAACTGCATCTGTTTTCTCTCTTCTGCAGAGGTTTTTGAAGTAACCTGTCATTTCTGATCATTACAACGTTATCATCAACTAATCTGCTAACGTTGAAGTGCTTCATTTTTACTGGCAACTATGGGATGTTGCATTTGCTTTTAGGTTTGTTACTAAATTAAGCAGGGGGGGGCTAATAATAGTTCATATATGCGCATACTTTGTATTGTTTTGTATTGAAATCAATCGTTATTACAGATTGTACAATATTAATATTTAGATATAGCGCCCTTATTTATCAAGCTTTGGCCGCCCTTGTATTGAAGATACTTGTATCTTCTGAACTACAATCTTCTGTTTTGTTCGCTGATGCTCTATTTCATTATGTTTCTATTGAATACAGTACCTGGTATGCTTCATTTAATGTTTGTTGTTTGTTTTATTCACATAATCAGTTGTACAAAGTTATATTAAGCAATATTTTGTATTGGTCTCTGCCCAAAGATAAATCTATTTCCATTGGTGCACCCCAGTACAGATAATGTAATATGATGATCACAGTATCCGCAACTCCCATTTCTATTATCCTAATTGCCCATAACATAATACTTAGATTAATTAGGCACTTTGAAATCCACGATGGTTGATATAATTTTCAAAGTCTACTGTTCCTGCAGTAGGTAATACAGGTTGGTGATGGTGAATGAAAATTTCGCAGCAGCTGCCTATCCACGTGGATTGGGCATGCCATGAAACTTCAAGCATGAGAGTAAAAAATTCTGAAGATTACATTTCATAATATATTTCATAAAAGTATTGAAATGGCGTGTTTAATATTCAAGAAAACATTTTGTTTGAATATTATAGCTAAAATTTTAAAACATAGTAAATGTCAACCACCAATTTTCATCGTCTTGTTTATTAGCCTGCAATAAAAAAGGGCACATTAATTCCGATATTTGTTTAAAATATTTGATACAAAGGGTGGAGGAAAAATCACAAACATTTTGTGTAAATCTTAGTAGCTTATGTGACTTATTGATCTGTTTACTATACACAGTTCATGGAAGACGGCGAATGTTCTCGAATGTTCTCTAGCTTATCTACACTGTCGAGATTAGAGTGCACCCTCGCTGGTGCTCGTATGATATGAATAATATCCATATTTCATGTGGATTGTTCCAAAAGCGAATGTTCGAGGAAATTTGAGCACCATTGGTTGCACTTCCTTGATTTGGGTAAAGAATAGTTGTTGCCTGCTGCGATTTTTTATGAGTATTTTTCGGCAATATTTTACATTTCATAAACTCTAACTATATTTTCGATCTAAAATAAGTGTTGCCAAATGAAATTTAAAACTAAAAAAGGAGGTACGGGTGTACATGTGGATAGCGTGGTAAATGTGTTGTCACAAAATGAACATAATTCAAAAAGTAATACATATTTAAGTAATTTACATCAAACTTTAAAAACTGCTTAAGTTTTCAAAAATGTGCTTCATGCTCACTGTTTGCTGTAGCACGAGTCATACACTTGCCGAGTGTCTACACTTTTCTTGCACGTGAAAGGTCGCGTGCTCAAATCATAGAAACTTAGGTCCTTTGTCACTCGACCGATAAATCTAAACACACATGACTTGTAATGATTTTACATGGAAGCGTCATTGGTATTTCTATTTTTGGAGAAACGGTAGTGTACTTTTGTTATTTTTTTAATGATATTTTGAAAATACTAAATTTCTGACGATTTTCGCACATTGCAAGGGAGTGTGAGTATATCACTGTGTACAATGTATTTTCTGCTCATTTCTGAAACGTATCATATAACTGTCTGATTTTAATGTCTTTTAACATTATTTAAATCAGGGGTGGATCTAGGGTGTCAAATCAGTCTCGCGACTGATGTTTATAGTTCAGAAATTACTTATCAAATTTAACGATTAAAATTTTTTGCGATCATTGAATTTCTGATGTACAATCGTTTGAATTTCATTGTCAAAATTCTGTTTTATATCTGAAATCTTACGTAAATATCACGTTAGCAAACAGATCACTAGATTTTAACATATCTGGAATTATATTAACCTACCGATAAGCGTGGTGGCTCGACTGGTTCGACCGATAACGGAGTTCAAGAACGGCTAATTAAAACCATTCCATTGGTCAATAGCCAGGTCAGTAGACGATCTGGAATAATATCGATCGATAAGAGGAGTGGCCGGACCGATAAGGGTGTCTAATTGCTCTCGTGTAATTGTTTCGTTTAAGGTTTTATCTTACTGTGTAATTGGTTTGACCGATTTTGACTGATAGCCAACTGAGGTAACATTGTCATGCTTACTGTCCAAATAAGTTGCCAAACACTGTTCACAGATTTGTGAACTTTTTGTTTCTTCAACATTTCATGAATGTTAAAAGTTTAAAACTTTTGTGAACTTTTCTAAATATTACGTATTTTTGTATTTTCATCATTTTCATAAAGAATGTATAGATAAATTATAGTTCAATTAAAAAAAAATCTTCATAGCTGACAATTCTTTCAAAACAACGACGATTTTAAGATAATCCGATGTTTTTCGAATACTTCCGAGGGTTTTCGAAAATGTCCGAGGTTTTCCGAAAATCTTCGAGTTAATCCGTTAACTTCCGATCTTAAAAATTAGATGTAATATGAACTTTTTGCAATTTTTGTGAACTTTTGACGCAAAGGAGCATGAATTTCTAAAATTTCATGTGGCAACATTGATTTTAATTGAATGTTTGATCGTTTCATAGTAATTTGCTAAAGCATGATAGAAACTATAATCAGCGCCACCGCAGAAATTTGGGAAAATCTTTTACAAATTCACATATTGACATGAATGCTGCTGTCCCAGACTGGAAAGTATGCAAACTGCGCAAGCTAGATCAATTTTTTTTAGAAATTTTGCGCGGCGGATTTTCGACTTTGCGCTGCGAAGCCATTAAATATTCGCGAGATGCCAGTTTTATTTTTTCCGTATCACACTCCATTTTTGATAGTTTGCAATTGCAAATAATTATGAAACATAACATAAAAGATGATACATGTGTATAGCTGTAGCTTACCTTAAGTTGGAGCTTGCAATTCTCCTTTTACAACGTGAGGATGTGTCATGTGTAATCACAAAAAAATGCCACTTTACCTTAGATATTATGTAACGAGTCGAACGACCAACGTACCACGTATGTTTATCATTCATCTGTTTCATCGTTTCATCACAGCGTATGATACGATAAAAGGTAGGCACCAAATAAATTTGATTTACTGACGTCGTCAAATACGTCGTAAAAAAAAAACAAAACAATCAGGAACCATCTTTTGTATAATCATCAGCCAGATTGTGGAGTAGAAGGTTTTTCAGTTAATAATTGTTTATAATCAGCAGGCAGATGGTGGACAAAAAAGGTTTTCAGTTGATAATTGTTTATAATCAGCAGCCAGATTGTGGAGTAGAAGGTTTTTCAGTTAATAATTGTTTATAATCAGCAGGCAGATGGTGGACAAAAAAGGTTTTTCAGTTACCAGTTGTTTATAATCAGCATGCAGATGGTAAGCAGGGGAGGTTTTCAGTTGATAAATATTTATAATCTGCAGCCAGATGGTGGACAAAAAAGGTTTTTCAATTAATTGTTTATAATCAGCAGGCAGATGGTGGACAAAAAAGGTTTTTCAGTTAATAATTGTTTATAATCAGCAGGTAGATGGTAAGCAAGGGAGGTTTTTAGTTGATAAATATTTATAATCTGCAGCCAGATGGTGGACAAAAAAAGTTTTTCATATACTTGTTTATAATCAGCATGCAGATGGTGGACAAAAAAGGTTTTTCAGTTAATATTTGTTTATCATCAGCAGCCAGGTGCTAGACGAAAAAGGTTTCTCAGTTAATTATTGTTTATAATCAGTAGCCAGGTGGTGGACAAAAAAGGTTTTTCAGTTAATCTTTGTTCATAATCTGTAGCCAGGTGGTGGACAAAAAAGGTTTTTCAGTTAATCTTTGTTTATAATCAGCAGCCAGGTGGTGGACAAAAAAGATTTTTTAGTTAATCTTTGTTTATAATCAGCAGCCAGGTGGTGGACAAAAAAGATTTTTTAGTTAATCTTTGTTTATAATCAGCAGCCAGATTGTGGACAGAAAAGGTTTTCAGTTAATAATTGTTTATAATCAGCAGGCAGATGGTAAGCAAGGGAGCTTTTTCAATTGATAAACAATTACGATCTGCTGCCAGATTTGGATTGAAAACTTCTTGATTATAACTGCACGAAGCATACTCGTTGACGTTTGACTAAGGTTAAAAGAGGAAAGGTAGCTTAAGGCGTGATGTTACGATGCGTTGCAAAACCTTGGACATCTCTCCTTCGTGTTTTTGCCATGCTCATCGGTCTGTAAAAACAGGAATCATATGTCTGGACAAACCACGTTCCTTGTCCCCATTGATGTAAAGTTTTGCCATTTCGTTCAGTGCTGCGTCGCATTGAAGTACAGATGGTAAACTCCAATCAACTTTAGCACGATTCATTAGCACTTTTATGCTTTGCCCACCATCCATTTCTTGCTTATCCACCACCCGGTAAAAAGATTCGGCAACAGCCTCAGTTCCGCATTTCGCATAAAATATGTCAAAGACGAGACAAAACTCTTGGCCGACAGCTGAATAAAATGAGGAATCGTTATATAAAGATTCAATAACGGCCTCTTCTTTAAAAAATTGAAGAAATTTGTAATGTAGAAATTACTTATCCGAACAAGTGAATTATTGGAAGCCTTGAACTAAAAAGTCAACACTTTCAACCACTGTGGCATAAATTTCACAAAATATCGTGACAAAATGTCGTAAAATCAGATACTATAATGCAAGAAAAATGCCGTATTTCACTAACAAACCTCTCATCTTTTTCATCGGTTTCCTCCCAACTTTCAGATTCACTGACACCAGAAACGATTTTGCACGAAAGTTCGTCAGTTGCATGTCCAGCCGTATCCTTACCAAGCTCTCTGAAACAATTTAATATTCATAATTTTAAAAAGCTATCACTGTATATGTAAAAGAAATGTATTATATAACATGCATGCAGTTTGTGATATTCGGTTATTTTATGGTTCACGCAGGGGAATGAGCATTTTAGCTACCTTTCATCGACTTCCATAATTTCTATCCGTTCTCCCATTCCGTCACCACCACACTTTTGTTGCACTTGTACTGAAAATACAATTAACATAGAAAACATACACAATGTAAGTGCAGTTCCCAATTTGGGAATTGGGAACTTGATTTTCATTTACCTAGCTGATTTAAGCATTTTGTACGCCTGTAGCGCAGATTTAGCAAGAGGGGAATCTTCTCTAATAGCGTCATTTGCTAAGGTCTTTTCGCCCTTGTCGCTGTGAGTTTTAAATGGTTTGCTAGAGAGGACTTGTTCCCTCTAGCAAGCCAAAATTTGTGTTGCCTTGCCTAAAACAAAGTAAGCAAAGCCCATTGGGGTTTTCTCGTGTCCACTCTTTGCTCGCTTTGCTTCTGGTCCTGTTTTCTGCTGCTTGCTATGTCTTTTAAACATGTTGGCAAACTGAAACTCTATAACACACAATATTTATGGTTACAAATGTGTCGATAGCCACAATCTTGGTTGTTTACTATTGATTTTATAAAACCCACTGACAATGTCATGCCACTTTTCTTTGTGACGCAAACACGATCACTCTTACACACGACTAACATTCTAACACTAGATAATTGTTCTGTTACCTTCCTTAGACAGTGTTTGCTGCTTATTTTTTGCCACTGCTGCTGTCTCAGTTTTTGCACAGCCACTACACAAGACCTGGGCACCAAAACCTTCATCATCACCTGCTGATGTTGAGCAAGGCGGAATTGCGTGGCACGTTTTTTTGCAAACTTTGCAAAAATGGCTTCCACATTCCTTCTTGCATGAAACGCAAACTAGTAATTAGGCAACAACAATGAAAACATAAGTTAAGATAATGTAATGAACGTTTTTTTGGTATCAAAGGCAAGCAGCACTAGTTTTTAGCAACACACAAATGTTGGTTTGGTACTCTTAGTGAGAAGAGAATATTGCCGAGGAATCACCGAATCAGCTCCTGCAATCAATCAATGGCTGATATATATTGTGTATATTGTTGTTAGGAAAATTTTCGGCTATTGTAACGCGTGAATTTACCTGATTTAACTGCTTGAATCTCAGCCATCTAGTAAAAATAAATAAACAAATAGATTAAAAAGTTTGTCAAAAAATCTCGCTTTATCACCAAATAATAGCGAGCTAAGCCCTGTTAGTTCGTTAGCAAACCGGTTTTAATTATAAATTGCTTCATTTATCAATATGTTTTATGTAAGGATTGTGAATTTTATTTGCCTTAAATGTATTAAAACATGCTTTGTAGTTTGTAATACAAGAAATCCTTTCGTACCACTACTTTTAGGTTACACAAAAAACATAACTGTTAAATAATAACTTGTTTCCCCGGGCGTTTAGTGTTAGAAGCGTTAATGCTTTCAGAATTTTTATCATTTGTAATTTTGTATCAGTACCTTACAAATTTGAACACCCCAAGTTGGTTTAATTAAATATCACGTATGACCGTAGAACACACCGAAGAATCGATATGGTTTGCCTTGAAGTCACTTAAAAAGAGAAAGCTCGAAAAACGAAAGCAAAGAATGTGTAGTTAATCTGCTCAGATATCATATTTCTAGTCATCAAACGCTTATTGGCTTACCAACCAATTAACGGAACTTGCCTGTCAAAACAGCTTGTAAGATTGACATTTAACAGGCAACAATTTTTTTCAACGGAAACAACAGCGCTACAGCGCACATGTGCTGATATTGCGCAATAATTTCTCGCACTGCGCGGCAAATTTCACAAATGCGCGGCGAACAAGAAATTTTTTAAAATCTGCGCGTCAGGACGCGCATTTCTCCCGAAATTGCGCAAGCTAGATCTAGGTTGCGCAAGACATACTTTCCAGTCTAGATGGTCCTCACTTTCGTCATCTAACTGATCCAAGATATCATCTAGAATGTAATTCTGGCATAAATAATGATATGGGGGAAGGTTTAGAAGCTGATAACCTAGATACAGAATCACAAGAAACACAGACCGAGTATATGAGCACACGAAGTATCGAAGTGCAAACCGATTTGCTATCAATCGATATCGATTTGCTTCAAGAAAAACCACGAAACTCTACTAATGATCCTTTGGCGAAGATCTAACTAATGATGAAAAGCTTAGATTCTACACTGGTCTACCAAATATGGCTGTGTTTATGGGAATTCTTGAGCTAATAAGTCCAGGTCTTGTAATGCGAAATTCCTTGACAAGATTTCAACAAATGTTATTGACTCTAATGCGATTACGGTTAAACTTACCTGTTCAAGATCTTGGCTACAGATTTGGCATTCATGCATCCACTGTATCAAGAGTGTTTCAAAGCTGCATAGATGTTATGTTTTCAAGAATGAAATTTCTGATTCATTGGCCAGATAGAGAACAATTAAGACTGACACTTCCAATGTGTTTTAGAGAAAGGTTTTCTTCTTGTGCTGTCATAATCGATTGCTTCGAAATATTTATCGACCGCCCTTCCGATTTTTTAGCTAGAGCCCATACTTGGTCGTCTTATAAACATCATAATACTGCAAAGTTTCTGATAGGGATTACACCACAAGGTACAGTATCGTTTATATCAAGAGCATGGGGTGGTAGGGCGTCAGACAAATTTATTACTGAACATTCAGGCATATTAAACAAGCTGGTTCCTGGTGACTTAGTTCTAGCAGACAGGGGATTTAACATTGCAGACAGTGCCGGATTATACTGTGCAAGTATTAAGATTCAAGCTTTTACTAAAGGCAAGGCTCAACTGTCACCTGTAGAGATAGAAACAACAAGATCCATAGCTAATGTTCGCATACATGTGGAGCGAGTTATTGGCAGTGTTTGTCAGAAATACACAATTCTTGGTCATGGAATAGCTCCAATCGACTATTTGCAAGCAGATGATGGTGAACATTGCTTACTTGACAAGATAGCTACAGTATGTTGTGCTTTAGTTAATTGTTGTCCATCAGTAGTTTCTTTAGAGTAGTGCGACAACATTAAACATGAACAATTTATTCTAAAATATGTTGAAACAGATAAATAATAAATATTGCAAACATCATAACTTGGCATAATTGGCTCAGAAGTTGCTTCTGAAATAGTTGCTAGTGAACTTTTTACATTTTCTCCCTTTCTACAAAAGTTTTCTACAGTCTACACAGAACCATGGTTTGTTTGCTGCCGGCTTTCGAGATAAACCACAGCACTTCGTGTGAAACATTTTAAACAAACATTTATCATTACTACATTTTAAAACAAGTGTGTCATCTAGCTTAACTCTGCAATAGCAAAACAATAATGTGTCATTTGATGGAAGTGGTTTTGAAGTGTGAAACTTTGCAAGAAGCTCTGGTAAAATTGCAAAAATTTAGATTTCTTTTGCTTTTTCAATATTGACAGCAAGGAATTCGTCATCTCTCTGAATTCGTTCAATATAAATGTCATTTGGAGTCCAGACAACAAAATCTACAAACTTTAACTTTGTAGAGGCTAATTGCAGTTGGACTTGATAGTAATATTGGTGTTTCCTGTCCATCTGTAAGGTACCATTTGGTGTCTTAGTGAGACAAAAATTCTTTCCATCACTTATGCCATGCTGGGTAGTCTTGTTTCTTAAACTGTATGGGCACTTAATCTCAACACATCCTTCACCATGGCAGTTGCAGTAACTGATTGCATCTGGACTTGCACCAAGAAAAGGGTACTTTGGATCAATTACAAATTCAGATTCTTTAACTGAGAAGATGCTATGATTTTCTTTCATTACCTAAATAAAATTAAGATATATATTTATGTATCTAATTATTTATTTTGATATATTGCACAGCAAAGCCCATGTAATTAAGAAAATTAAATTTTTGTGCCAAATGAGTACATGTTTGCTATTAGGTTTATGAGTGCATAAAAAATTTTTTATGTGCAATCAATTTGCAGCAATAAACACTTAATTAACTGGATGAACAATTCATGAAATAACAATATGTCAATGCTGACTTGTGTATATTGATTTAGGGCTCTCTTCTAATTGGCCTTTCCCCACGATGTTGCATCAGACTTAAACTGTGAACCATAACAAACATCTTTGACCAGGCTTAGTTATGGTGTTTCAGGATTTGTGCGACAAGCCCTGTGGAAGTTGCTGGCAGTTATTCTCCCCATTCGCATTTGATGCCAAATCTGAGACTTGCTTTGATTTCGTGTAGCTTTTTCTATCATATCAGCTTGTTGTTGATTGATTGTAATTGTCTCCATAACTTCTTTTGATTTCGAAATTAGCTCCTCATACTCAAGACAAGCAAATTGGTGGGAGTACAACTTATTCAAGGGGTCTGGAAGGTTAACAGCAGGTCTCTTTGGCACAAATTTTTCGTTAAATGGAGAAATCAGTGCAAGATTGCAGGATTACTTTTAGTGTCGCTTAGATGTTGATAAAACTTCTTTATTTGATTTTCAGACGGCTTGTACTTGTTTTGCAAACGAGGCTTGTCTGTTGTCATTGTCTGATCGGTAGTAGATGATGAACTAGAAGCTAATTCATTGATATGTTCATCCAGCTTTTGCTTTTTACGTTTGGAAGAAGTAAAATCAACGTCACAAAGTTCTTGATAAGTAATCTTTGATACTGTCTTAGGCATTAGCCACTGACAGGGAATAGACGTACAAGTCCTGTTCTTTGCTATTCGTACACCAGTTTCAACAGCAAAGAGCAACGCTCCAGCATGTGAACAACATTCTCCCAGTCCAGCTTTACAGTTGCAATGTGCTGTTATAACAGACCCATTGTTATATACAGCAGCCCATGGTTTTAGAGGAGTGTCATTCAGGCTTTGCGAATGATTTACCTATGAATTAAACACCAAATTTTTTTCATACTGATTGTGACAATGATTGTAAAAACACGTTTTAAGTAATAATTATACTAACCTTTGCGATTAAAATCTTGATGTTAGTACTTGCTTTACCGACATACACACACCTCACCCATCCAGCAACAAAATACTGGTATGATTCTAAGCTTTTGTAAGCTTTCAGTTGCTCCTTGGTATACCTACTTGTTGAAAACAACAGGTAGGTCACAATATCGGGGAACTCAATATTGGGCCATAAATCCCTCGCGTCAGAAAAAAATTTGTGACTAACATTGTAGGGATCGATACCACAAATTAACTTTAACTTCTCTTCTTATTTAACACGATCTTCAACACTTAAAGTTTCACGATATTTAGGAAGGCATGGCACTCGTTCGTATTGACTTGACGCCATGTGCGTTTTGCATGCCCCCTATCATGGCGCCATAGTTACGGTTGCTAATCAACAAGTTGTAAGTCACGTGTTCATGCAAAGCCTCTATATGACCGACATTCGTCATGGTTGATTAAATGGCACTCAATTGTAAATCTCGCCCTCTAGCTGGGTGGTCTAATTTCCCCATTTACTTTGTAATATAGTGTGGAAAGGAACTTTTTGTAACTGATAACGCTGTGAAATCTACGCTCGAACTGATCTTGATATCGCGCGCTCTATCTCACATGACTTCCTAGTGACGTAAAACAGTGGCGAGATAGAATTTGCTTAATTTAACGTTTATATGGGATTTAGCATGGGCTTCTATGGTATGCAATGTTTAGGAAATAATATATATTAACATCGATATTAGATTCATTCTTTTCCTGTGGAAAGCGGGATGCTTTCACTGAAGGTCAATGATGTATTGTCTAACATTAACACCGGATTATGTTACTGATATTTAATATGGAATTCGAGCTTTGCTCATATGAACTGTTCAACATGCTTCCAAGCAAAAATGAGCAGGAATATTCAGTTGATTAATCTATGATAAACCTTTCACCTTTTAACTCTCCTATACCGGTCACAAGCCCGTGACTGTAGCGTATAAGGCTTTCTACTTTTGAGTAGACTTGTGTTATTATATATTAATTGAAATTGAATCACGCGCCATTTTATTCGTGACTCCCCTTAAAGCGTTAGGGTTTCCCCCAATTATTTGTTCGTTTGTAAAGAGTCGAGCTTAACACGGCAACTTCAAGCTGTATGCAAGAACGGCTATTTGTACTCCTAAATATTGACGTAAGTATTCAAAATTTTGTAATAATAGTCATGTAACGTTTGCGTAAGCGACGGGATTTTAATTGAGCGTTGTTCCCTCACAATTCAAGTTGTATGTTTATGGAGAAACAAAATTTCTGTGACGTTGTTTGGATGTATATTGTCGCTATTCAATAGTCATGTTCGTGGTAATTTTTGGTGAATTTTTAACAATAATATAAAGTATGATTTGTAGTATGGTATTTTTGTAGCCTATAGATATAAATCCGCCCTGTCAGAAATATCAAACATTAATTATTTGTCGCTATGTATATTGTCGCTATTCAATAGTCATGTTCGTGGTAATTTTTGGTGATTTTTTAACAATAATATAAAGTATGATTTGTAGTATGGTATTTTTGTAGCCTATAGATATAAATCCGCCCTGTCAGAAATATCAAACATTAATTAATTTCTTATTTTGATATTGCTTGCTCCCATTATAACGTCGCTCGAATGTGTTAACCAATACGTAGTTTGGATGCAGTATTTCGCTTGTTTTCAAAAATATGAAATGTGTTCTTTCAAAGACTTTTTCTTGTAAGATTTACCTTGTATTAGTTGCGATCGTCTGATAATCAACGGGGAAAAATGAAATGTTATTGAAACAAACTAAATAATTGTTACACAATCCAAAACCTTTGACAGGCTAACATGATACATGTACACGTACTTTGCTTACCTATTTCAAAGGAAAAATCCCATGTAGGCAGGTATCAGGTCACGTGCAGGTCAAAAATTTTGATATTTTTTGCTAACAACTGTTGCATACGTTTTCCAATTTTTTGAGCTGCTATACTTTATACGCACCTATGTAAACACCCCATGTTTTTAGTGTTGAGACATCCTTGCTTTTCCATTCTAGAGAACTTTCGTGTGCATATCCACAAATGCTTTGTATTATTTGTGTACAGCAACTCTTCTATTTTACTCATTTGAAAATTTCCATCATTCCATGATAGCGAAAGTGCTGACAAACCTATACATTTGCCTCACTTTCGCGTATTGTAAATATACGAGTTAGTTAAAAGTTAATTTCTGAATACAGCCTTATTATACATAGGTATAATTAAGAATAATTATGTAAGATTTGTAGTCACATCAGATATAGTTATGAATTGAGTATGAAGAGTAGAAAATCTGATGATATACAACAAGTTAATTGCTAACCGGTACAAGAGTTTCTATTTATGCACTTCATTTAAATGAATTAAGGAATTTCAACTGTTTTTGAGTAAAATTACCATAACGATCAACATGGCCTACGAAAAAGTACTGAAATGGAGACCCTCGGAAATATGGCGTTGATGTACGTACCTCCAACTTCCATAAACAAAAAAATTTTTCCTGAAGTGCTTACCCAGCTAGCAAAATCACGTTGTCTCAACGTTTTACCAACGTTCGTCGAACGTTCACTCAACGTCGAGGACCAACGTTGAGACAACATGATTTTGTAAAATCGTAGAAACGTGGTGGCGACGTTAGGATAAACGTTGGGATGCAACGTATTTTCAACCTAAACCCGACGTTTATACAACGTTGATACAACGTTCATACAACGTTTCCCCGGCGTTCATACAACATACTATAAATGATGCATTATTTGTGAAATCATAAAACAGCCTTTCCAATGATACGAACTAAAGTTTAATTTCCGTATAATCAACTTTTAATTCATCTGTTTTGCTGCGTGTGTTTTAACATACATATTTACAAAAATGCTAATTAAGCCGATTCCAATAAGTTGCAATTTCGCACCTGCAAGAAAATAACATATATGATTATTAGAAAATGGTAGTCTATACATCATTTTTATTATATGTCTTACCACCTACAACAACAATGACAAATTTGTCTGTAAAAGATGCCATTTAAATGGAAAACTGAATCGTCTGCTTACGTACGTCGGACAAAAGAACTTATCTCGCGCTACGTCATCTCATACGCACGAGAAGCAAAACAAGTGAACAAAACTTTAATCGTTACGGCACCTTTTTCACATTTAACTAACACTTGCTTTTTTATGTAAATAATAAAACAATTATTGAATTGGGTTTTCACGTAATATAAAGAAATATCAAGGCATCAATGTGCTCTATCTATTCCTAAGCGTTTGTAGACTGAACAAACCTTGGCCTTCATAAGTCTTAATTCATATACTATTTCATTCAATAATTGTTTAATATCACTCTAAGGAAATTGTATATTATAAATCTAATCATGTAGTTTGAGTTAACAAAATTTAAAACTTGCACAAATCTAATACCTGCACTAAAATGAACGTTTTTAAAGGTACGCATTATGTATATGTGTCCATTCCATTTTGCTTTACTTATAATTGAAGGACAATGAAAGACACATGCTCACTTTCTTTAAGTGCACATGCCAATAATGTTATTGAGTATTTTTCTCAACTTACACAGACAAGAAAATACAAATATGTTAACTATGAGATTACGAAGTAAAATAAGTTAAATTCTCCCTGTCTAAGTTGAGAATATCAAACAAAGGAAAAATGGCATCTATATACTTTACCCAGCAATCTATGATGATAATGACATGTTACCTTAAATCTGGAACCACCTTGCTTGCCTGGAGCATATTTTAAAAATTCGGCAATTTGCTCTTCAACGTTGGCCTTGTTGCATCCTTTATGAGCTTTGAGGCAGGCGTCTAACAAGTGAAACGAAATAGAAAAGACATGCTTTAAATAAATTGCATAGATAAAACACTAAACCTTTTTCGTAAGCTGAATGATAAACAACAATTCATTATAGTGACATATGCAAAACAGTTTAATGTATTAGCTTTTAAAACTTGCAACAATATTCCTTATGACAAGGAGCAACATAAATGGCTGTTTTTCCAATTCATGAACGAGAAAAAAGAGACAAAACATGGTACTGCTGCAGCAAACATTATCGTCTAATTTTGCTTACTTGTTATAACTTTGCAGAGGGCAAGGTGCTGAAATGGTCGCTTTAATTTTCTGCCTTTTAAACTATATTGGGACCATAGATTATTTGTTCCCAGCTTTGTCATAATTCTTCAAACACCGTTTGCACAGGTGTTTGCGCTTGCACAGTGCTACCAAAAACTGCAGCTAATAAAGAGAGTAAAAGATAAATTATATGGAAAAGTTCAATTTAGACATATATCTATATAACCATTTTCATCTCGAATTGCAAAACAAAACCATCCAAAGTGAATGGTGAGAGCTTTTAGAAAGAGCAGTATCTTCGTTAAAATTTTTCAGTACAAATAAAACGACACACTCCTAAGAGCCGTTTGAAGTATCGTAACGTATTTAAATCAATCAGAAAACGACAATGCTCTCACGAAAAACACGATGCTAGATTCATGTAGTTTAATTAGATAATCTGACCCCCTAACATCACGAGAATCATTAAAATTACGTTTCAGACTTGACAAACGTGCATGTTTTCAAGCTTCAAACACCAATGGTAGAAAAAAAGTCAATATTATGTTACGCAATTGCAAATAAAACTATCATTTTCACGTTTCCAACCCGATAAAGGGGAAAGGCTATGCCTTCCTTTGCACATTTTTTTTACGTAACACTTGAAAGAGTCATGCATAAAATATAGGCAGTGCCAATAAATATTACTGACCACGTATGGGTGGTTAACTTTCCAAAACTTACAAACTTTCTTCTCGACTTTTTTTTCATCAAGACTAGAGGATAGCTCCTGAAGTTCTTAAACCGAATCTAAGGGATTAGGTACAACATCTTCCAAAATTTCGTGCTCGTCTACACCTTTCTTAGCGCTTAACAGAGCTCGAAATATTGACAACGCTTCTTCTTGCTTATTAATTGATGTTTCCAGTTTGGTGAGAACTGATCTTTGGAAGCCTACAGGATAGATAAGAAAATAATAGAATAACTTATGTATAACCTACGTAATATCTTAAAAATATATAATTTTACAACATGCTAACAAGAAAATTCAAATAAAACTCGCATCAAATTGTTAATTGAATACTCATTCACCCAATCAACTAACCCATTTTGAAAAGAAACATTTAAACTATCATTTTCAAAATCAGAAGAATCAGAAAAATGCCTTTCCCCAATGTCTGCATTCACATGGACCAAACAATCAGCTTTTCCATGGCAAAAAGAAACATCTAAAATTTCAACTTCACCAGAAACAGCACGGTCATTTCCCCCAATATCACAATCATTAAGACCAACTTTTGAAGAGAAAGAACTTTGTTTAGGACTGGCAATGGTTCGTTATCATTGTTGAACAGATTACTACAGCCATCATCATTAGGCATTGCATCACTGAATCTTAAAGCTTTATTAGCAGCAGTCCAGTTTTTTCTGTATTGCGCCCGGTCATGTTTCATTATATGAACTAAAATAAATATAAAATGTAACTGTCACTTTATTCATTCTTGATTGATTTAAACATATCCTAATGTTACAACCCATTCCCTCTAAGTGCTGGTGATCACAACATTTAGCAAAATGTTTCAATAAAAAAATGATGATTCTCATTCACAGGTCATGGTAACTTATATGTCTCCTCAACCATTTTTAACTAATTCTCTTCTTTACATGCATTTATCATACCTAATTTATACATAACGCTAAAATTTTAAGTATAACATTATAGTTTACTTGCCAACAACAGCAAATGGAAAATGCTCTAAGCAACTAAATATAAATAATTAAACTGACATTACAAGCTTACTAAAGAAATAGGCTAAGTTAATAAACCAATCTAAGAGATAAGAAAGTGGGTTGTAAACTACATATTGTCTTGAATGCAATAATTGGACAAACGATACTTACTAGTATTATAAAGCAACCATGCATTGTTATGAATAAACATTCAATTACCTCTTTGTAAAATTATATCACTGTTTAAAAACTGCTGTGATTTGGAATAGAAACTACAACTATTTTAAGGTTTAAGGCTACGTGATTCTTAATCAAAAACATTTTGTAAATC